GAGGAGGGGGGGCCCTCTCCGCGGCTGCGGGTCCCGCAGGGGAGGGGCCGAGGCAGCCGGGTCGAGGGACTCCCTCTCGCAGGGGCGGGGGGGAGGGCGGCTGCCCCTTGCCGAGGCCGCCGCGCAGCCAGCCGCGAAGAGGCCGGCCCTCGCGGCGCGCGGTCGTCTGCGCGCGACCGCCGTCGTCGTTGCAGTCGCTGCCGCCGTCGCCGCCGCCGCCGTCGTCGTCGTCGTCGTCGCCGTCGTCGTCGTCGTCGTCGTCGACGTCGTCGTCGTCCTCGTCCTCGCCCTCGTCCTCGTCCTCCTCGTCCTCCTCCTCGTCGTCGTCGTCGTCTTCGCCGTCGTCGTCGCCGCCGTCGAGGCCACGAATTGCTCAGACCGTTTCAGAAGCGGCGGCCCGCGCCCCAGCTTTGCTGCTCTGTTCCAGCACCGTGCCCCGGGGCCCGCCCGATGGAGCGCCGGCGCGACGCGGCGCTGCACCGGGTGCTTCTCGCCGTGCTCGCGGCCGCGCTGTCGCTCCTGCCGCCGATCTGCACGAAGGAGGCGCCCCTCCCCAAACGTTCAGTCGCGCCTGTCCCCCTACAGGCAGAATATCCAAAAATAGTCCAACAATTGCCTGGGGAGTATTTCACGTCAATTTTGTTTGACATTGTTTGAGCATTTTGGGGGCTCCTGTCGTTCAAAATCCGCCTGTAGGGGGACATGCCCGACCTGACCCAAACGTGGTGCGGCGCTCTCGCGAGCGCAGGCACACGGTCGACGGGCTCGAGCGTGAGCCCTCCGCCGAGGAGCTGTGCGTGGCTGTCCGCCGCGCTGTAAGCAGGGCTGCGGGTTCGCCCAGCCTTACGTCGGGCATGTCCCTCTACAGGAGGCGTATTCAAAAGTAATGGAATTATAGTCTGGGGACGACTTTTATGTGTATATGTATATATATATACACACACGCACGTTTGATTTTGTGTCGACTATTTTTTATTGTTCGTCCCACGTTCGCCTCGAGGGGGACATGCCCAGCCGTGCTCGCACGGCGGCTTCGAGGTGCTGACGCTGGAGCCCCCGGGCCGTCGTCCCCCCCCTTCCCCTCACCCACCCACCCCGCGTGCCGTAGCCCAGCACGGAGTGCTCGTTCGCTGGCGCCGTCGAGGCGAAGCTTGCCGCGTTCGCCGTCGAGGTCCCGCTCGCGCCGACCTGCACACCAGTGCCGTGCGACCGCGCTGCTGCTGAGGACAGCGTGCAGCATCGAGGTCTCGTGTGCACCCCATGCTGGCTGCGTGCACATGCCGCCGTTCGACTTTCGTGCCGATCGGGACCCCTTGGCAGAGGCCTTACCCCAGGACGAGAGGCAGTACGCGCTGGAAGACTACCCGCTCGCCGCTGTCGCACACGAGCTCGACATACCTCCCGACATACGGGGAGCGCGTCACTGCGAGTCGGCACGCCTCGGCACTCCCACGTCTCGGGTGTGCAGAATGCGTGTGTTCCCGTACACGATGGGCCGCACTTACTGCCCCTGCTGGGACGATCGCGACCTCGTCCGTCCAGCACGTCCGACCTCTGATGGAGACCCTCACCCAAGTAGGCGATCCTTGCCAGTGCGACCAGATGCGCGCAGCTTCGGATGCCTCGTGCACCAGGTGTTTGGATACCTGACGTCCCTGCACCGCCCGAGTTCGAGCATCAAATTGTCTTTAGCACTCGTGCACCTCCGCTCGCACGACACGCGCTTTGCATGGCTGGAGCGAGCACCATGCAAACACACACTGACTGGTTGCGGGGGATCGCCCTGGCGGCGGTCTCTGACAGCATCTTTTTGGAAACTAAGGACAGCCACGAATCGCGTATGGAATACTGTTGGTGGCCTTCAGATGTCACTGCCGATGTCATAGCCCCCTTTGCCGATGAAAAGTCGTCGCCGCCGCCGTCGTCGTCGTCGTCGTTGCCGCCGCCGCCGCCGTCGTCGTCGTCCTCGTTCTCGTCCTCGTCCTCGTCCCCGTCGTCGTCGCCGCCGTCGCCGTCGTCGTCGTCGTCGACGCCACTCCCGCCGCCGCCGTCGACGCCACTCCCGCCGCCGCCGTCAACGCCCCTCCCGCCGCCGCCGTCGACGCCACTCCCGCCGTCGCCGTCGTCGCCGAAGAAGGGTCGTCGCGTGTCGCGGTCGTCAGAGGTAGAGGGGGAGAGGGAGGGCGAGTGGGGATGGGCAGGAAGAGAAGGAGGAGGAGGAGGAGGAGGAGGAGGAAGAGGAGGAAGAGGAGGAAGAGGAGGAGGAGGAGAGACGGAGGAGGAGGAGGAGGAGGGAGGAGGAGGAGGAGGAGGAGGAGGAGGAGGACAAGAAGGAGAACTCTGTCTTGTTTTGCTCGTGCTTGCCACAACGTTCCCCCAAACGAACGGGCCCTTGCCCCGTCTCTCCTGCGCCCTTCGATCCTTCTCCTCCTCCTCCTCCTCCTCGATCCTCGTTTCCCTCCTCCTTGATCCTCCTCCTCCTCCTCTTCGATCCTGGTTACTCCTCGTCCTCCTCCTCCGCCTCCGCCTCCTCCTCCTCCTCCTCCTCCTCCTCCTCCTCCCCCTCCTCCTCGATCCTCCCCTCCTCGATCCTCCCCCTCCTCCTCGATCCTCCCCCTGTCCCACTCCCCAGCCGGCCCTCCCCTCGCGTCCAGTGGCCCCCCCAGAGGGCCTCCCTGCCCCCCCTGTCCCGTTCCCTCTTCGCACTGCCCCCTCAGGCCTACGCTGAAGTCGGGCATGTCCCTCCACGCTCAAAGATAGTCAGAATAGTAGTGGGTGGACGATGTTTCGTCTTTCTGTGTAAAAAAACAGAATTTGAAATATTTGGTTGTTCTTCCGTCCAAGATCCGCCTGTGCCCCTCTTCTCCCGCCCAGGCTGCCCCCGCCCCTTTTCCTTCTTGGCGCCGCTCGGGCGCGTGTATGTATGTATGTATGTATGTATGTATGTATGTATGTATGTATGTATGTATGTATGTATGTATATATATATATATATATATATATATATATATATTCCCTCGGCGAGAGGGCCCTCGAGGAGCACCCCGGATCCTCGTGCGAAGCAGAGCGCGCGCGAGGCGAAACGGCGCACGGGGAGCGGGCGCCCGAGCGACGTCGAGTCCTCTGCCCCCTCCCCCGCGCCGCATTCGAGAGAATCGCCTGCCGTCGGAGGCCGAGCTCCACGAGGCAGCGAAGAGAGCCCAGCTCTTGCGGGCCGCCTCGCGCAGCGATGGTGCCAGCGCCCGAGGGGGGGCAAGAGCAGGCGGTCGCCCTCCCCCGCTCCCCCAGAGGGGGCTTCTCCCCAGACCCCCGACGCCATGCTCGTTCGTCATAAGGTCGACCCCCCGAGGTCTCGACCCATGCCCCTGGACCGGCTTTTCGTCCTGAGTGCTTTTTTTCGACTAGACGTAAGAGTGACCTTTCGCCGGAGTGACCTTTGATGCGGGCAAAAGGGGTTCCCCCGATCGCCGAACGCGATGCGATAGTAGCGTCTTGCGCGCTTGTGTTTGGGCCCCCCGCGGCCCCCCAAAAGCCGCGCACCAGAGGTCACTCTTACCCAGGGTCACTCCTGCGTGTAGTCGATGTTCGACGGTTCCGAGGACCGGTGAGGGCCCCCAGAGGCCGAGCGTGGCGAAAAGCCTCCCGCCGTGATTTTGTCACAGCGCGAGGGGGCCCGGGTCCCCCGCTGATATCCAGGGGGGCTTCTCCGTGGATGATTTGGCTGTCCCCAGAGGCTCCTGGGAGGCCGCGGAGGTTCCCGTGCGCAGAACGCGCCAGAGGTGCTGGAGGAGGGGGCGGAGGAGGAGGAGGAGGAGGAGGAGTCATGAAGCTGCGTCCCCCAAGCGGATTGGTGCAACGATTTTGTGCTTTGCCGAAGCAAAAAATATTTGATTTCGAAGTTGTTTCGCCTTTTCTTTGTTCAGAAGTTGTTGCGTCGCCGACCCGCTTCGATATTGGGCATTCGGCGTGCGGCTTGCGCGCAATCTCGCTTCGACGCGTCATTCGAGCGGTGTCGCCCCCGGTCTGTTCCCGATTCGTCTCTCTGCTACCGCTTTTCTTTGAAGTTTAGAATCGCATTTTCGGGTATTGTTTCAGCTCGCGGTGGCCTCTTCGGGGGTCTCGTGCGCGTCGTGGGTCGTCTGGAAGCCATCGTGGGTGTCGCGGGCCGATCATTCGACGACTCGGAGCCCTCTTGGACCGTCTGGGGCGCCTCTTGGGGCCCTTTTGCATCGCTCTGGGGCGCCTGAAAGCCGCGCACAGGAGAAGAACCATCTCTGGCCCGACCTGGCCGGGGCATTTTGCGTCCGGGGGCCCCTCTGGGCCGTCCCGCGAGCGCGAAGTAGAAATGCTGCGAGGCAGTCGCCGGAGATCTTCGCGCGCCTCTGGCCCGTTGGGCCGGCGAGTTTCCCCCGAGAAGCATGTCCAGTGCGCTATGGGGCGCGCGACGAACGGGCGGGCCAATTTCGACGTTTCCCTTCTTTCCTCCTTTCCTGCTGCTGCTTCCCATTATTCCCTTTTCCCGCTGCTGCTGCTGGCCTTCCTGCCGCTGCTGCCGCTCCCACCTCTTTCTTTTTTCTTTACCTTCGCTGATGTTGCGCGGGCACGCCTGCTTGGCATGCTGGCGCACCGGGCAGGCCCGCGATTCTGCGCCCACGATTTCGGGAACACGATTTCGGACACGATTTTGCCTACGATTTCGGAAACGATTTTGCCCGCGACTTTCGGCCACGATTCCGCGCCCCCTTGCAAGGCCCTACGAAGCCACCCACGATTTTGAGCGCGATTTTCCTTATTGATTTAATTGCAAGAAAAATCGTGGTCAAAAAAATGTGCTTCCGCGGAAGGCAGGCCAAACAAGTGCGCAAAATCGGTGCTAAAAAAAACGTCCCAAATCGTAGCCAAACGGGGAGGGGGAGCAGGGCGCCGCGGAAAGGCGGCGGGGGGGTCGGGGAGGGGGCCAGGAACTCCCCCGGGGATCCCCGCTCGGTTGGAGAGGATGCCCTCGCGGCGGGCTGCGCTGCCTCGCGCGGCGGGCCGCCGCGCCGCGATTGAGCCGCCGCGCCCGCGGCCGGCCGTTGAGGCTTCGAAGCCGACGTTTGCCGTCGGGCCCCTCTTCTCCGCCACCAGCGCAGCCGCGCGCC